CTGAAAACCAAATCCATCTTCAAGTCAACAATAAAACAATAGACGACCCAATAGAAGTTTCAAACTGTTTTAATGATTTTTTCTCATCAATAGCCGACAGAACACTCCAAAATAACAATAACTCTAGAACCAATGCCTTAACAGACCACTTACCAGCAACACATCACACACTCCAGTTCAGACGGACCACACAAGAAGAAGTGCAAAAGGCCATTCAATCTCTAAAGATGAAAAATTCATCCGGAACTGATGAGGTATCAGCTAAACTTCTAAAAAACTGTAAAAATGAAATAGTAATACCCCTGACAGACCTCATAAATAAATCACTCTCACAAGGAAAATTCCCAGATAAATTAAAAATAGCTAAAGTCCACCCAAAATACAAAAATGGACCAACAATAGAAAGAAACAGCTACAGGCCAATCTCCCTAATATCAACATTTTCAAAAATAATCGAAAAGATAGTACTAGTCCAACTCCTACACCATCTTCAAGAACACAACCTTCTCAATAGTCAACAGCATGGTTTTATCAAAGGCAGATCGACAGCCACAGCCTTAATACAACTGACGGAGCACATACTAGACCAACTAGAAGAAGGCAGCACTTCAACAAGCCTCTTCCTAGATTTTAGTAAAGCTTTCGACTGCCTAAACCACGAACTTCTTCTGCTCAAGCTGGAAACACTAGGCGTGAGAGGAAGAGCAGCAGAATGGTTTAAAAGCTACATTAGTAACCGGAAACAGCTTGTGGAAATAGCCTACATAAAGAACAACACAAAATATAAGGCCCAATCCAAAGCTGTAGACGTGCAAAGAGGAGTACCCCAAGGATCAGTACTTGGCCCAGTCCTTTTCCTCCTTCTCACGAATGACCTACCTAGTTGGATTGGGGAAGATGGACACACCACCATGTACGCAGATGACACGGTTCTCACATTTGCGGACAAAACAATGGAAAATCTGGAAGAGAAAACCAACACACAACTCCAGAGAACAAAGCAATACTGTACCTCCAACGACCTAGTTCTAAACGAAAGCAAAACCGTTCAAATGACTTTCACCACCAAACGCAACAACACAGACATTACAATACCGGGACTACAAACACAAAATACCACAAAATACCTAGGCATCATAATTGACTCCAAGCTATCATGGAAACCCCACATAGACCAGCTCTGCAAAAAGCTAAGTTCAAGTCTCTACGTTATACGTATGATCAAGCAAGCTTGCAGCCCAGAAGTAGCCAAAGTTGCATATTTTGCTCTATTTGAGTCCCACCTCAGATATGGCATTGCGACTTGGGGTGGAACATCAAAAGGCAACCTGGAAAGAGTACTCCTAAAACAAAAAAGAGCAATTAGATGCCTTGCCGACCTGAACTACAGAGACAGTTGCCGAGAAGCCTTCAAGAACCTTAAAATTCTCACATCAATTTCACTCTACATAAGAGAAGTCATTATCCACACCACTAAAACAGCCCAGCCAAGACACAGAGACATACACCAGCACAACACACGACATGCCGCCAATTTTTCCCTCCCACAACACCATCTGAGTCTGTACGAGAAGAAACCATCCTACAAAGGTGCTCTGTACTTTAACAACCTACCAGAGCACCTCAAGAGAGAACAACCCAATCTGCTCAAGAAGCACCTGACAACATGGCTTATGGACCGGCCGTTCTACTCTGAGGATGAATTCTTAAACAATAAGCTACCATGAAAAAAAGAAGAAAAAGAAGAAAAAAATTCTAATTGTAATTGCAAATTACTGTAATAGTTTACGTACATACTGTACATTTTATGTACCTGACGCATGAATGTTCTCTAGGAATATTTCAATAAAGATTTTGTCTATTGTCTATTGTGACTTTACCTATTAAATATCATATTCTCTCTCATCGCTAACCCATGATAACGGTTGTTGACAAGCTAATCGGAGAAGGTATGTGTCAGATTGCTGATAATGTTATTTTAGTAATAGATCTGTGCCTTTCACGACACGGTCTCCTGATCATGGGATTGAGCATGAAAACCGGAAACTGAAAGTAATTGGTGGAATAGTGGGACTGACACAGGATTACATTGCTTTGACAGGTTCTTTATGATAGCACCTAGCACCAGAAATGTCACGATTATATGATGAGTTTGAAAACCGGTACAATGTTAACATGGGTCCCATAAGGACTATGTACCACGAAATTTGGGGAAGCAAGCTAAACACAACACTCCTTAATACAGACGAAATATGTACTTCTCTCACATTGTAATCCTTTTGATGAAAATGAAACCAAGCACATACCTTGCTTCTGAACAAGTTATAACCGAAAAGTAAGCAAATTATCAACCGTGGTACCATAGGACAAGAATGTTTTGAAAAGTATGTCCATCAGCACTTGGGTAAAGGTGAGATATGCGTTTGGGATCGTATGAGTAAAGTAAAACTGAAGACGTTCAAGTCATCAAATGTGACAAAACAATATCTGTTTGCGATGAGGTAATTAACCCTCCGAGTGTTATTTGTCGCTGCAGCGACACACAAACACTATTTACGGCGAAGGCTCTATGACTGACTGAATCGGATTGAACTGGATCGAGTTAGGTATCAAACACAACACTTTACACATCTTTTCGTTAGATTCTAAGCTTTCTCCAGAGGTCTGTCTCAGCGCTTTATGTTCTCCGAGCCGATCGTAATTGTAGCAGACAGCTGACGTGCGTATTTGTAAACAGCGGTTATAACCTCGGACCGATGACTGCTGTGTTTTATTACGTTTATCATTGTTTTAGTGTTAAAAATCAAAAGTAGTGATATACGTGGTGCATTATAAGAAGATTTAAGTGATTTTGAAGGGCTGGTTGATGATCCTGAAGAAGTAGGTAGTGATATTGATGTAAATTATCAGCCAGATTTCTAGCTATGGTTAGGCTATGCATTCTTAGCTAAACGCTATGTACTGAAATCTGTTTTTTGCCCATAACTTATTTATTTGCAAATCTACTTCCTTATATTATTATATATTTGTAATCCTCATAAAATTTAGAACAAAGTGGCTATTTTCAAATATTTATAGGCCTATAATTTATACAATTTCATTGAGCACAAACTTATTTTTTTTTTTTTCCAAAATATATTTTTTACCTAAAAAATTTTTTTGAACAAATGTTTCTTATGTTTTATATATAATATTGAAGCCCATGATTTTCCAAACAAAATGGTATATAGAACAGTATAATTAACATTGTTTTTAAGCTTCTCAGATCCGTTTTAATAAAACCTTGCAAATGAGCTAAAAATAGGCAGACATTATAAGGCCAAAACAAGGGACACTCGGAGGGTTAAGGTGAAGGAAGAAAGAAGCCTACTGTATATGTTCATTATATCAGCTAGAAATCACCGAGCATGTTCGCGAGCATGTTCGTGACGGTGTTGGAGGCGAACATGCTCGCCCGTGTGTGGGGTCTGGGAGCCTTCGTACCGGCGGCTGAATTTTTATTTCAGGATTAATTTGGCCAACAGTGTCATTTGGAGGCTTAAGATTGACTGAGGGAACACCATTACTGGAACGATACAGTTTGCCGACATCGGCCTCGGTGGCATAGTAGGATAGAGTGCTGGGAACATGCTCGCCAGTGTGTAGGGTCTGCGAGCCTTCGTACCGGCGGCTGAATTTTTATTTCAGGATTAATTTGGCCAACAGTGTCATTTGGAGGCTTCAGATTGACTGAGGGAACACCATTACCGGAACGATACAGTTTGCCGACATCGACCTCGGTGGCATAGGTGGATAGAGTGCTGGGAACATGCTCGTCCGTGTATGGGGGGCAAGTCGGCATATTGTTCTTGCTCGGGGAAAAGATGTGTTGCACTGAATTGTATGGATGTGCAGAGTGTAACAACATCCCATTAGAACGAGCAACAGATTTTGATAGTGAAAACAATGACTGTTTAGTTTATACATTTAGAGATTTAATATCTGTATCTTATAATATCTTTAGTATGCGATGTAAGTTTTGTTATTAAATATTTTAACTTCCGAGTACACTATTGTTCACAGTAATCTATTACACAATTAGTCTGTAGTATCAATAAATACCATAGCAAGCTTACATTTTTAAACAGTCGTTCCATAAAAAAGTTTCGCCGTTCTGTAAAATTTTTGGTAATTTTCACACGAATTAGCACAAATACCAGTGGCCGTTATACTCACAAAAGTTAAAAAATTCATCTGACAACTGGTTTGGTTCCTACAATGCCTAAACACAAAAAATATATATAATTATCATTGTAAAGAAAATTTATAAAAAACCCCCGCCGCAGCAAATCTGCAGACTAAGCGAATTGCCACTAACCTGATTCGATTTACACTAAAATGCCTCCATAAAAATATCACATTTATTTCCTATTTAAATAGAATTAGTTTAACGAGTACTTAGGTTTGCTGCAACAGCGAGGGTAAAATTGTTTTTTCTTTTTTTTTGTAAAATGTTAATAGTTTAGTAAGAAATGAAAGTATTTTCCAAATCCGATCAAAATATGTTCATAAACAAGCAAACTACAAAAGTTGACTTATTCTCCATAAGAATAACTTAGAAATATTCAATTTAAAATTTTTTGGAATTTTCTCCGTAACCATTAGGCGCTCAACAACGCTTCAATATACTAAATTATTTGTTTTTTAAGCTCTACAAAATGGTTTGGAAAGAAATGGTAAAAATTGGGAAATTCGCTAATAACCCTTATATCTGAATTTACTGTCACGTTTTTGCGTCGTTTGGTAGCCATCTTGGATTGGGGCTGTATTTAATAATGAAAAAAATGGCAACAAGTAATTTTTTCATCCTAAGGTACACATTAACAGTTTTCAAAAGTTATTTCAATTTTAACAGGCCAGTCTAGCGAATGATACACACCAGCCCACACTATAATATCAAAGTATCATTTTGTCAAAGACATATATATAGTTTGTAACATTGCTTTATTTGCCTTGACTAGCTCACTGTTAGCCTGGAGGACGGAGGTGAGACAGCTTCCCAGAGTAGTGTTGGGAGTCGTAAGGATGGACACAGTCGTCCTATCCGAGGTAGTTCCATCTTACGACATGTCATCCTCAAAGCAGTATCATCACAACTACGGTCCGCTGCGGTGAGTCACTGTTTCAGGATACTAATAAACATTTTAATACATAATGTATAAAATTATACTGTTTTTATTTACTGTATATAATTTAGATTGTTTTAATGATTTATACATAGCCTATATTATATACAACGGTTACTTTCAAGGTTTACGCTAATTCATCTAACTGCGATAAATTGAGTGAAATTATACATATTTTGAGCATTTAGCATTGTTTTTTGTTTAAAGAGTATTAAGTGTAAAAACAATAATGATATTAATTGCGTTAGTTACCAAAAATGGTTGATCATTCAACGAATAAAATATTTCCCATACCGTACGTCATCGGAGTTATTATTAGTATTTTATCTGGTATCTCTTCCTTTGGAAGAACCTTTAAATAGTATTAAAATCGTATTGGTGGATCTTTTGTAGTTAAAGACTTCCGTGATTTCATCAGTGTAATGCAGATTACTCTATGATTTTATTTGAAAAAAATATCTGTTTGTTGGGAAGACACGTTCTAACTTCAAAGAGGTATATCCGTTACAGTGTAAGTTTGATTTTTCCTTCAGCACGTTGGGTCAGTTCATATCGTACTTCTGTGCCAATGAACAACCCTCTGTCATAGTTTTGAGAAATTGGTTGTGGGGTTATTGTTAAAGCTGGAATTCAATGACATGGGGGATGTCAGTTAGTTGTCTCAGCCTTATCAAAGTATTTACCTACATAAAGTTGTCAATATAATCTCTCTACTGAATGTTAGGTGTAGTGGAATATACTTGAAGTGAAGTTGGCTTTTGTTCTTGAACTGGGGCCTCCTCGTTTATATGGTCGTGCGGCTCATTGGCAGCAAATAATGTAAATAACAAAGCAATGTGGCAATTCCACAAAGCAAAAAATACTGTAAATTGGCTGTTACGTAAATATTGACGTTTTTTTTTTATCAATGTATCTTATAAAGGATGATGTAATCTAGTTTTAAAGGAATATGACCTTCCTGTCATGACAGTAGCTGCTTAAATAGACTACTCATTGTGCTATTTTTTACAGCCAAAATGTTGTGTTATTTTCAATAATGTTACCAACCCAGTAGGCCACGGTCCGTAATATAGGCCACTGCAAATAATTTGTCAAGAACCTATCTGGTACCTAACCATTTTAGGCAAGGTTTCTGTGTTTGGGTGCTATTAGACACGGTAAGAGCACAATAAAATTCTTCTGCAGATGAATTTTCTGTTGGAGAAATATACCTACGCCGAATTATAAATGTCACAATGCGAGTTTGAGCATTTTGTTTTTTAGGCTGCTGCTCAGTGCACTTTAAGAATATTTTTTTTAGAGATAAATTAAATGGTTTTTGTTTCTGAGCAGCGCTAGTAAACATGCAGAACACTTTTCGTTAGTCTAATAACATTCAAAGGCTCTCTAAGAGTTCAAGTTCTTATTTGTATACATATCTATATTATGTTTTCAATAAGCTAAATGAAAACATATTGCAGTTTTCCAGCTTAACACGTTCGCTACCGAGCGACGCACATTTGCGTCGGTCCGGTCACTCCTACAGACTGAAAGGAATGATCATGACGTTCCTTACAGACCAAGTGATATAGGAATAACATTGCCGACAGACCAAAAGAGAAATATCGTTTAAATGGACTAATTGACTTCATTAACCTTAAGTGAATTAGTAAGCAATAAATATTGTTTTTATTTTTCGTTATGAGCAAATTTTAAAACGCCGCATATATGCGTCGGTCAGTCTTTTTAATGAAATCCAGTTAAAAAGATTACATTTTCGTTTCAATAGACCAGGCGACGCACGTAAGCGTCGTTGTAAATTTGGTTGTTTCAAGCTTTTACACAAACAAATAAAGAAACTCCACTAAACACTAGCCAAAACTGCAAAGGTTATAACGTTTACATCTGTTCTGTGATGTCGCGGAATACACAATGTAAACAACAATGTTGCCAACTGTTGTGTGACGTAACCAATCGTCATATCCACAGACCAAGCGACGCACATTTGCGGCAGATATCCCTCTAGACCGATACGATAAAATCCGAGCTTTAAAATAGACCGTTGCTAAGAAATACGCTGTTTAATAACATTAGAACACCGACGCAAATGTGCGTCGTTAGTCTATTTCAATGTGACCAGCTGACGCAAATATGCGTCGGTGGTCTATTGTGAGAAACGAGTCGACGCACAATTGCGTCGCTGGTCTATGCGAACGTAAATTCCATATAATTGTGGTAGCGAACGTGTTAATGACTTTCTAAATCATACACATATTTCTACATAAATATTGTAAAATGTTTTATCCAGTTGCTGTAAACTACTATTGATTTAACAAAACATGGACACGGCTCAAATGGGCACCATGCCCTTCTGCAATTGTATTATGTTGTATTGTATTACACAATCGAAGATTTATCCGATGACTGATAACATGTATGAAAATAATCTCATGAACCTATGATGAGCTGTCTACCTAATATGATAAAATATAGGCAAAAGTGGTGAATAAGGCAGACACCAACCCGTAAAATAGATAGATAGTTCAATAAGAAATAATTGTAAGAGTTATTGTGATAAAAGGATTTTCCACTGATTTTGTAATGGAACGTTATATTGCAAAACGTGAAATGATAACGAAGAAAATCATTTAAAATCAGAAAATAACATTGCAAATACTTCTTTTGGACAATTCAGTAACTCCTAATAAATGTGTGTTGTTTAAAATACAATTTAAAAATTAACAGCTGTTTCATTAAAAAGTATTATCCACATGGCCAAAATGTAAACAAATCTGTGGAGGGATCTTTAAAGGCTTCTGGGGCAGAGCCCTAAGGGAATTTACTTTGTTTTTCTTTTGATAACTCATATACAGACCAAGACCTTTCTTTGGACACCTCTACCAAGTATCTACGCTCAGCCGTTCAATCAAATTAGTGGAGACAAAGATTCCAATTAAATATTTAGATCCCCCCATGTTAATCTTATGGGAGAAAACTCAACTTTGATGGAAGATCCTGCCCAAACTAATACTGATTTAAAATACCCCTGCCGCAGCAAACCTGCAGACTAAGCGAATTTCAACTTGTCTGATTACATTTTTACTAAAATATTTCCATAAATAAGACATAATTCCCAATTTAAATAACATCATAGATTTAACGAGTACTTAGGTTTGCTGCTACAGGGAAGGTATAAAGTGTTTTTTGACCATACGTCAATAGTATAGGATGAAATAAATTTGCCAAATGGTATCAATATATATCCATAAACAAGTAAACTACAAAAGTTTTCATTTTCTCCATAAGAATAACATGGGAATTTTAAATTACACAATTTTTTAATTTTTTTCCGTGACTGTTAGGCATACAACAGCGCTTTAATATACTAAATTATTTATTTTTTTAAGCTCTACAAAACGGTTTAGAAAGAAATTGCAAATTTTTTTGTTTTTATGGTCAAAAATGGGAAAAACCCATTTTTACCACATAAAACCCCCCATAAACCCCCGTTCCCATAGTCCGATTATGCTGGTTCGCGAACTCGTTTGAATAAACGTAGGTTTACACGTTTGTACCAAATTTAATCAAAATCGGATCATTTTTGCTCGAGTTATCGCGCTAACGGACACACACATATATATATATATATATATATACATAAATATATATATAAATATACAATTGTTTGGATAAAGGGCTACTATTATAAATATTAAAGAAAGCATACTAACTCAGTACCCTGAAATTATTTTTTACTAGTGTACATGTTGCTCGAATTCGAGCAATTGCAAAGTATTACAGGAGTTATTTCAAAACTCAAGCTCAAACTCAAACATCATTATTTTTGACAGTCGTTACAAACTGCATAATAGCGTCAACAAAATTTCTCTTACAAATAAAAACAATATTTCTTATGGATAAAATCTAAAAACTAAAGATCATTGTTTTCTTAAAAAGTCTTCAACACTGTAACAACAGCGTGACAAAAGAAGACTCTTAATCCCTATGCCAAATCTATCCACACTATTTTCCATCTTCAGGGGAGTCAGTGCATTGAACAGTTGAATGCCATTGTAAAATAAATTATTAAAAAAAAAAACAGTTTTGTGCTTTATAATGTCCAAATCGGACAGGTTTCTCAATTTGAAAAACTAATAACAGTTATATTTACAATGAGTTTAAAAGAGTCAATTCAATGATTACTCTGGTGTGTAACTCAGACCATGTTTATCTTCGTTATTGATAAACCTAAATCCCGGCCTTCCAGCCGGTTTTCTCCTTCTCAAAATGCCTCGCTGTACAGGCAACACAGGTCATTGATAGAGGGCCAATTGAAAACGAAAAGTCGTTTCGGGGTAGTGTTAGGGCGTATTTGTAACCTAATAGTTAAGATTGTCCAGGGTCAGGTGCTGACTGTGATGAGTTAAGCATATTACGCGCCACTGTTCTGTAGCTGCGGTCGTTATCACTATTACGCCTCCTGTTTATGTTTCGTTGTCGTCGCGTCGGAGGCATTAAAAGAAAAAAAAAACAAAAAAAAATATAGCTACACAAATCAACAATAAATGCACAAATTTAAGTTACAATCATGCTAACACGATCCGTTATAGCGACACAAAACAACGATAAAAACACAAATTTAAGATACATCCATACTAAAACGATCCGTCTTGGGGGTTATGTTTACTAAAACTCAAATAGTAAATAAATGTACTCAATGAGTTGTGACCGAATTCCCAACTCCATTGATCAAAAGGGTGAAGCCCTTGGAAGCGCAAAATCAATGGTGGGATTCCGGCACAATATTGCTGAGGTGGAGGACCAACAATAACAACACAAGAGCTGGCTGGACACAAATATAAATTTATTCATTCTAAAATATATATATAAATGCAACAATGATTCTTAAATAACAATAATAAATAACACATTGCCCTAGCCAAGATAATAATTAAGTTAAAGCTTTTAAAACATTTAAAAATTTCTTTAATAAAAATACAATTTAA